AAGACGAAATACATATCTTAGATCTTAATATTATTCGCTATCCAAAAGTATAATAGCCTGTAAATTAATTTGCTTCATAAATTGCCTAACTTTCATTAGTATTATATTATGAAGTTTGGGACTCATTCTCATTTTATGTTACTTGTATACCCCTGCTTTTATCAAAATCCTGAACTTTGATTAGAATCTCAGCTGAGTTTTTTACTTTATCAGTGTAGGGTTATGGAGATTGTTAAGTTTTTATTGAGACCATGAACTGATCAATGGTCGCGCAATATCATAGTTTAGTTGAAGTTAAACACTAACACCTTTGGGTCCCGACCTAATGGCCTACAGATAAAACATTTGCTTTAGACCTGAGGTCTAGGATTCGAGTTCCATGCGTGGGATCGTGAATGCATACTGCAAAAGAATCTCATACTAAGACGAAATGACCGTTCAGTGCTTCCAGGTTTCCAATGGTGGTCTAACATTGATTGGTTCATGATCTCAAGAAAAAAACTCTCCATTTTAGCCTTTATTTAACATCAAGAAAGTTTTACAAATGAAATATCACTGTAACTAATTGATACAACATACATTTAGGCTTAATATTTTTTATTGAATCTAATAATCATTTAACATTTAATTGTTTACTGCATATGAACTTAAAATTTCGCTAATAATATTGACTAATAAAACCTCGTTTTTCTAACTGCTATATCCCCCTTAACACATACATAGCAATCTACTTTATATTTGGCTTCATATTTATTACCATTTGTAGTTCCTCCCATAAACATACATAAAATTTTTAAGAAAAAACAGTGTACATTTTCAATTTACCATTCTGTTTTACTATTTTTTCACTGATGTATTTCATAAGTTTCGAACTGATCACATTAATTGTTTATTATTCTTTTGATTAGAAACAGTTCAAATTAATATCGAATATACAATTGTGATAGGTTTTATCTTCCACCCAGCATAGTGAACATTGTATAGTTTTGAATGATATTTGTATTTGTTTATCTGTTGTTGTAATCATATTCTATTGTATTTGTTTAAGTTAAATTGAGAAATGTGGGAAGTTTTTTTCTTTGTTTTCATATTTATAATTAATTAACGTTGGTTATTTGATAGGTCAGATTATATAATACAAATGAATTAGTTAATTATCCCACTAACTAACCGGTCATTTATTTTATTCCTATACACCCCCCCCCTATCCATACATACAAACACGCGTAAACAGCTACATGATATATTTTAGTATCTAATCTATAAAAAAAATGTTTTTTCATGTGTGTATGTGTTTGAATTGTAGGGGAGGGGGTGAAAAGGTTGTTGAACTTTTTTTTCAAGGTTTGTCCATTTGAAAATAAAACAATTAACTGTTATAAATATTTGAACTATAAAAATAATTAACTTCTCTGAGATTAACGATTTAATCTTTGGTTAAATATACTCTCACACACACCCACACAAGGTAATTGAATTTGGTATAAGGAAAGGAATACGTTGAAATGTATATACCCACATATTTATTCAATATTTGATGATGTCAAGTGACTTCGTTTAATAAATCATTCAGTTGCTTTCTCATTTCATCTGAAACATATCTTTACTGTAAAATAGCTACTGAAAAGAATAATAAATTTGGTTTGAATGAAATATGAATAGAAAGCTCGTGTATAGGGAATGAATATGAATAAATGTAAATGTTATATCTAGTCAATATAATACTAGGTATATACTACCAAAGATTATTAACTAGGATGTAACAACTTCACAGTGTACCTTGATTGTCAATTGTCCTGTAGGTTGCTTTCTAATCTTACAAATATCTGTGGAATATATATCTACATTATAACGCTGTAAGCATTAGTGACAAATTTTGGTTACTTCATATCTGGAAAGCTGAGCCATAATATTTACGTCCGTAAATCAGGATGAAACTGCTGAAGATAGGGAACATAACTGTTTTTAAAGCTGTAGAGTCGCATTGCCAATAAATACCAACCAACATAAAATGTGATTTCATGAATTCCCACCAACTATCTTCAACCATCTAGTAAATATAATCATAACATAGAAACGAAATTAAACAATATTATCTATAAAAAATCTCATACCTTACTAAAACATAATTTCAACAATTTCATTCCATGGAAATTATGCATAATTATCATTCCTTAGAAATTTGTAAAATATAAACATCATACGAAATTCGTGGTTGGTATCCGTCATGGATTTAGAGCACTCATAGACATCTCTTACTTCCTAATGTATAATTACTGAGTACATGAATATCCACATTCCCGAATGAAAAACTTAACTTGTAGATCAGTTTGTAGGGAATCAATGGTATATGCTTTCAATCTCAATCACTTCGCTATATGACAAGATATTCATCTAATCAAATTGATGATGAGTATCACATTTTGATTTGACCGAACTCGACACAATTCATCAATAAGCAACTGATCATATATTAGTAAAAAAAAGTTTAATACAGCTGTTCGTTTCTCACTGGTTTTTTAAAGCTAACTCTGGTTTATGACACTGTTTAAATTAAAATAAATTAAATTGTTAACTTGAATTTTCGATAGTTAAAATCATGATTCACTTGAAGATAGACCACCATGAAAAACCTGGAAGCACTGGACGGCCATTTCGTCCTATTGTGGGACTCAGCAGTGCGCATCGACGATCGCGCCCCTCGTGATATCCGAACCCAGGACCTATCAGTCTCGCGCGCGAACTCTTAACCATTAGACCACTGAGCCGGCCGGCTCTCAACGGTGTTAATGTCTAACTGCAATCAATCCACGAAATTGCGCCACCGTACACCATTGTCTTCAGTGAGCTGATATCTCACAACAGACCTAGTTGAACTCCACTGGTTACTGCTTCTCACTAGAACTCCAGGAAATGCCTCTTGAAGTCAGTCACTAGTGAGCAGATGACTATTATCAGAAGGGGTTTTGTGGAGATTTTAGAAGTTTCAATAGCTGAAATCATTAATCAATTGAATTTTCCCATTGATATTTAGGACTGCAATTGATCAGTCTCATATTGGTATATGTACATATTGTGCGTACTGCCTTAATTTACAAGCTTTATAAGCAAAGATGTGTAGTGGCTAATAGTGGAATGCAGGACGCGTGTTTAATCCTATCTAGGAATCGTCAACTGGATGTACCTGCATTTCAGATTTGATGTTCACTCTAGGACTCGAACCCTTTACATTTCAAATGCAATCGCGTTATCCACTTATCATAAACCATATTTAGCTGATATTTTATTAAAAAAAGACATCTAGGAACAAGTTAAAATAAAAACAAATATTGATTTATTGTTAATATACTATTTCTCTTGACTAATTAATATGATTATGTATTTATTTGTTTACTTGAACACATAAATATTAGTACAAAGGTGTACCGAATGGATATGCGCCATACATGTCACTTGATTTGTGTGTGAGCTTTAATACTGCTCAGATGCCCAGACTGAAGCAGGTATAATTATGTAATACAACAGGTATATAGATAGTGATATGTAGTAAGGAATAATCAGTATGTGAAAAAACATTTTTAATGTTTCATTAATATTTATAAGGTCAGTTGCAAAAATCGATATGGCGATCAACAATCTGAGTTGTCCTCATAATAATAATAATTATTATTATTATTATGATGGTAGATATTCAGATGGATTCCGTTAACATCAGAAAATATTGAATTTTACTTTTTTATGTAAAAGTACACTTTATATAAACTAGACAAGATTTCTTAACACAAATTTGAAGGTTATTTCATGTATGTGATTAAAAAAAACTATAAAGAATTTCAAACATTTAAAGTTACTTCAATTTGTTTAAATAAATCACCAAGAATAAGATTATTGGTTGAAAATTTGTTTTAATATTCGTTAACAGTCACATAACAACTAGTCTAAGTTGTATGATTTTTATGCATATTTTCTTGTGAAAAATCGTAAATAGTGAAGTTTGAACAAGTCGAGTATTAGAGAGTTGTTTACTTCAGGCAATAAGAGATGGTTGGTCATTATCATCAATTTATCGAAGTTAAACCATCAGTTCTTGGTTCAATAGTATAAAGGCCAAGTGTTCGTGTGAGAGTCTGAAAATCATGAATTTGACTGTCTGTAGTAAGTTTGGCAACCTGCACAGTTGAAGACATCCACATTAAAATGGAATAACTAACTAATCCTGATCGGTTTTCACTAGTTGTTTAACTAACACCAGTCCCTGATGTAAACTCTATGTATTATCCTAGAACTGTAAACTACATAATTCTGACCTTATTATGTCATGTGAACAAAGAAAATATTCAATATTAATTCAATCCACTTATACACCGGTTAATATCGCATGTTGAGATAGGATATGATTATTCATAGATAATACATATCCCAATCACCTTCTTCATATCAGAAGGGGTTTTTGTGAATATTATAGTAATTTTAATAGCTGAGATTATAAATCAATTGAAACTAGATCATCATAGAAAATCTGAAAACACTCGATGACCATTTCATCCTATAGTGGAACTTCTCAACAGATTCAATCTATTTAATGTATCTGCCTAATATTTTATATTTCTAACCCAAAATTGAATCCTTCGATCACCAACAACTTCTCTTTTCACTATCAATAGTAATTAATGATAATAACAACAATATCATTTGTATAAATCAATCTCTTATTTATATTCTGTACAAAAATAATAATCATGACAAGTTACAAAATAATATAGAAAAAAATAAGTAAATATTTACAAAATAAACAATCAAACTATTTGATAATAGTAATAATAAAACAGGTAACTCTGAGATTAACATTTGAATATAGAATTACCGAAAGGAATAACATAATAACTCTATATAAACTATGTAAACTATCACGGAATAGAATGATACAATACTGTTTTCAATTGATCTTTACTTATTATTAATTAAATTAGTACCCAATAAGTAGAAGGAATGAGATTAAGTTAATGTAATCGATGAATGATTGTTAATAAAAGTGTTTGACTTTTTTGAAATAATTCTTGTAATTCATGAATAGTAAATTTAATTGAATCAATTTTATTCACTTGAATAATTTCATCACCAATAGAAATTTGATGAATTGGATTATTTTGAATGAATCGTTCTGATAAACGAGTAATACGATAACCTGTTAAAAAATAATAATTACAAATATGAACAATATAATGAAGCAGCAGTTCATTATAGTAATGATTGTAATGATTAGCATAACATATTAACAACCATCATTAAATACATAGATATATTGGACAACCTTTTCGTCCTGATATAGGTCTCCTCAACAGTGCTCATCCACTACCCTACATAGAGGAAGTAAACAAAGAACATTCAATCTTGTACTCGAATCCTTATTCTCTAAACCATTGAATCAACAAAACGGTTTTATTTTGGGAAATCAATTGGTTCACGATTTCAATGAAATTAAACAACCTCCACAACCTCTTATTGATATAATTTAACTTATTTTCGTTCACATATTTGAACCACACTTTTCATAAGCAGGTTAGTGATTGTACCTGTTTACTTAAATAAAAGTAAATGAATTAACAATCGCTAAATCCCCAAATGCCCTGGTACGGCCGAGAGTGGGAAAGTCCGGTCTCCCTTTCGAAATGCTCTGCCAGGGAAGTCCTACTCAATGCCTTCTCGCACCACGGATGTTGTTTACGAAATTGAGAGGACGAAAAGCGAATGTCCAGAGCTTTTACATGGTCAGTGGACACGGAGAGTCCACCTAGGGGAGTTGGAAAACCCTGATTCTAAACCAATGGTGCACATGGGCTCCAGTATCCTGAGGGATCAAACGGCGTATGAACCAATCGTTGATCAATGGCTACCATGGGACTGCATCTTCTTACGTTACTCCATTGCCTTGTGGATCGGACGTTCAGGTCGAAGACTCAGGGTGTGGTCCCCTAAGAAAACCACCTGCTTCGGTCTGGGCACCCGGACAGTATCACAGCCCTCACACAAATCAAATGAGATTTGTGTGACGCGTATCTATTTGGTGCCTCCTTGTACCAATATCTATGTCTTCAAATAATAATAATAAGTTGTTTGAAATATTGTAAAAATTGCAGGTGCTTGAATTGGTTGAAATATTATGATTATAAACCATTAGTACTCTAAACTTATATACAATCATCACATGGTAATAAAAAAATTTTAAGCCGCCTATTTACTCTTAAGTGAGTTAAGACAGATATATGTAATAAAAGAACATCTCAAAACGAATAAATACGTCTGTTACAAAACGTCTATTTCAAGAATGAAATGCATATCAATTAATACATTTGCCAATGAACTAAAATTTTTGTATTCTATGTTTCTAATTCATTGTTCAAACAGTTGAATGTGGAAAGAAATACAAAACTGTGACCTAATCTTTACAAACCAAATAATTTAACTATTAAAATAACACTTGTAGAATGTATTATTCCTAGTCTGATATCAGATATACATTAATTTAAACTATCGAAATGATCCAAAATATCTGACATTAGATTCTAACTGTTTTAGGAATTTTTCTGAGATCCTTAATTCTTAAACACAATAAACTGAAACTATTGTTGTTTCTCAACCAGTATCCATGACTTCAGTGAATTTCAACTGATTGCTAAAGAAGGAAATCCGGATAACAACATATACTGTCAGTTAAAAGATCTGACTAACAATAAAATCTTCACTTTGATTGATAGGAGAGAAACGAAAAAAGATATGCTAACTACTAACACTAAGAAAAACATCATCTTACCTTGTTCAGATTTGATCACGAATAAACCGAATGGTTCATCTAAATCAGGTCTTGTCAATGTTACAAATCGTGATAAAACAGTGTTATTCTGTGAATTAAGACTGTTATAAATATTTTCTTTTACTGGATCATTTACTTCAACTGATGGTGTGGATAAAGAAGTATCAATAGGGTGTTCCTCAAATTGAACAGGATCAGAACTTGTGTGATAGTCATTCATATTTGAATTATTTAGGGCAGTTGCCAAGTTTGGATTAGAATATCGTAATACATTACATAAGCTACTTAATGTTCGACGTGCTGATCGTCTAATCACTTTAAATAGATCAGAACGTTCTAATTTTGACTCTAGAATTGTATCTTTTACACTTAAATTCTTGTTGTTTTGTTCAATATCCAATTGTTTCACTTTTAGACTTCCAGTACTACTACGACGTGTGGATCGTTTTGTTATATCAATACTCCATCGACTACGTCTTTTTAAAGAAACAGTTTGTTTTTTCAAACTAGATCGTGATGATGATAAGCAAGAGTTGGTGTTGAGAGAATTCATGGACGCATAGTCACTTGTCGGTATTTGATTGATGGAAAAATTTAGTGAATGTTCTGACAATTGATCGTATCTATTGATTTTTTGAATAGAAAAAAAAGAATACCTGATTGAAAACGCTTATCTGAATGGGGAATAAATGTAACCTGACATCTGCTTAAATGTAAATTACTAAATTCAAATCCATGGTAAAACCTAGATGAAAAAATTGTTTCCATCAGATGAATAATCACTAAATGTTAGAATAGTGGACATTTCTATTTTTCTTTTTTGTATTCATACAATAATCAGGGACTAGTGGGTTAGTAGTTAAGGCATTCAATTTTCAGACTTTACGTTTTAATTTCGGGTCCGCCTACATCAGTTTGACAAACCGAGTAGTTTCATTTGTCCTCACATATGTGTGTGACTCAAAATTGACTAAATGAATCTGCATAAATCAGTTGAGTTAAATCATCAATACTCAATAATCAGTCAGTTAATAGTTCAGAAATAATGTAGGACTTGGCCCATATGTTCATCAGACCCTGTTACTGCATTTCGAATCAGTACAGTTAATAAAATATTAACAACATACAAAGTAAAATTGTCCGAATAAGAATGATATTTATGAGAGAATACTAATAGGAATGGCGAATTTATATACATACAGTTCAAACTTAATACTAAGGGTAAGAAAAATTATAAATAAATTTGTTTTATTTCATCTAATCTACAAAAATTAATTATGATTGTTGCATGAATTTGTCAGGCAATGATATTGCTCCTTAAATACTTCAGTCCAATAAACAATAATTAATGAATGCTATACCATCAATTTAATCGTCCCTAATCTTTTCTGACTTATTTATACACAAGCCATCAATCCATGTCAGGACATACTAAGGCTATTGACGCGTAAAACACATCTCAGATACCTAGGTCAATAGGGGTTAAGTTCTTCACTAATATTGGATTAAATCAAAGACACATACTTCTCCTGGATTAGGATTAGTGTTTTACACTTAAACTTTAGTCATTTAATGAAGTAACAATCTGTCGATTCATGTCAGTAACTGGTACACATGATTATGCAGTTTCTTATTGTTATTGTTGTTATTATAATTATTACTGTCATTATCACCAAATACTGCTACACTACGATAAATTTTTCCGAGTTACGTTTGGTAAAAAAAAACATCAGAAAAATAAATCCTGTAAAAAGAGATTGTAACAAATTATTCTATGAACAGACTATCTTTATTTTTATTGATTACTATTGTCAATAGTAGACGTAATTCTGATATTTGTTGAATCAAACAGCAAACAAATCCCTGCATAATTACATATTTGAATGGGGTTTTGTGGAGATTGTAGTAACTTAATAATTGAATTCATGAGTCGATTTAAGCTAAACCACCATTGAAAACTTGGAAGCACTGAACATACATGCGCACTGCTGAAGAGCCCTATACCAGGACGAAACAGGTGTCCAGTGCTTCTAATTTTTCAAAGGTGGTCTAGCTTAAATCGACTCATGGATTCAGCTATTAAATTATACATTCCTTACACAAAATGAATTTTTCGAGTATTCGCATAAATAGTTTCTTTGGGAATCATTCAATATATTTTACATGTACTGACTGACTAGCTGAGTTAAAATTACCCTTCTAAGATGGGGAATTTCTCAATGTACCACATGGTAATACATAAACAATCATATCACCAATAGACTTACCTATTCGGTGGTATACAGGAATGCTCTATATTCTGTCGCTTTGCTGGTGTGGATTTATCTATCACAAATTCAAATATGATTCAACAAAAAATTATATATATCACAATTGTATACTAAAATAACTTGGTAAATGCATTCAGCCCAGAAACTAATTAAATAAACATAAGTTTTTTTAAATTTCAGAACTACCAATCAGAAAATTTTTCAAATAAATAACGCAGCTTATATCTGACCTGCCATTGTATTTGTAATGACTGAGTCACTTGAGTTTCAACTATAAGGTTCTAATTTTGTACCCGTCTCCAGTGACATTGCTTTCGACAGTTGCTATAGTATAACTGTTTACATAGAAGTTTGAAAATCATGTAGAAAAGTTTACAGATTACGGTACAACTACAAAGTTCTTAACTATGAATGACATTTCGTAGATAATTTAATGAGTCTCCATACAAGCAACTTTGAGATAATATAGGTAAGCTTGAAAAATCTATTTTGTTTCCAAAAATTGGCCGCGGTGTCTTTATGGTTTGAAGACGGAAAAAACTATCGACAGCCTAAAAGAATGTGTTCGAAATTTTAAAATTATATCCATTATGACACCATAAATTTTATGCTATATATAATTTACACAAACCAACTTTTCTTTCGACTGGCCTCAAAATGAATTGAAATACCTCAATTTCACCATTACAATCCTATTCGTTAATGATTTTATCGACAGAAAAAAACAATCTATTGATTAATTATAACAGAATAATTTTCAAATGAGTTTGAATATCTTACCATTACTCCAACTTAAATCTGTAAATCTTGGTGATTTTGTCAATGAAACACCATCTGTACTAACTCTTCTTTGTATATCTGGATTAGGATATATTTTTATTGTTTGACAAGAACATAAATCATTTGGTGATGATGCAACCGAACTACTATGTATAACCATTTTTGATTCAATTGCATCAGAGTTAGTGGTCTTGCAACAATTAACATCATCAGTAATTGAACTATTACAAGGATTCTGTTCATTTCTCATGGATGTATTTCTAGAAATTAAATATATATATACACATAAATGCTTAATATTTGGGTATTAAAAACAACCATGGCAACTATAATCGATACATAATTATGGGTTATATAAATGTAGACATCAACTAGTGTGCTTATTCAATCCATTTTTCTAATGTTCGTTAAATTATTACATTGGAAACTATATTCTAACGAACATACTGTTCATTTAACTAAGACATATGATATATATATACTTTCTAACCTGTCATTAAGTTCATGTATTATGAGATTAAATACATGTATGTAGTCACTGTGATTTACCAATGATTTTAAAACCCACTGTCATATTAAAATGATTTTTGTTAAAATAATAAAAAAATGATCCAATGTTCGTGAGCGAGACCGGAGGTCGTTGGTTCGAATTACGGGTACGAAGTCTTGGATGCGCACTGCTGAGAAGTTTCGTATTAGGATGCCCTGTTATGGCCGAGAGTGGGGAGAGTCCGCTCTCCCTCTCGAAATGCTCTCACATGGCCACGCGTATACAGCCTCTGTCAGGAAAGTCCTACTCACTGCCTTCTCGTGGCGGGGGTGTTGTTAACAAAAATGAGAGGACGAAAAGCGAATGTCTGGCGCTTTAACCGGATCTCAAACCAATGGTGCACATGGGCTCCAGTATCCTGAGGGAACAAATGGTTTATGAACCAATCGTTAATCACCGGCTACCATGGGACTGAATCTCCTTACGATGCTCCATTGCCTTGTGGGTCAGACGTTCAGGTCGAAGGCTCGGGGTGTGGTCCCCTAAGAAAACCACCTGCTTCGGTCTGGGCACCCGGGCAGTATCACAGCCCTCACACAAATCAAATGAGATTTGTGTGGCGCGTATCTATTTGGTGCCTCCTTGTACCAATATCTGTGTTAAAATAAAATAAATAAAAATTAGGATGAAACGGTCAGCCAGTGCTTCTAGGTTTTCAGTGGTTGTCTAGTTTAGAGCAGCTCATGAATACAACTGTAAAAATGAAAAAAAAACACATTTATGACTTTTGAACATGTCTATCTACTTATCTTTGAATAATAGCGAAGCAATAGCTTTAATGATTAGATCCCATATATTTCAATCTATGTATCTGAAGGACATAAACCCTCGTTTCATCTATTTTAGTTTGATCAAAGCAGGGATCGAACTCAAAACCTTCAGTCTCATGGAAGACGTTTAATATCCAAATAACCACGCATTAGAGTAGAAATTCGCACTACCAATACAATTTTATTTTTTTTAAAAAAAAAGGAATTGTTAATATACACTTACAAATCAGAAATATCTCGATTACGTAATATATGCTTTGCTTTAATTGGTTGCCTTGTAGTTGGCATAATTGTGTTCAGTAATATTTGTCCATTTTTTATTGTTTTCAATTTCTCTTGTAATTTATTATTTTCTTTTTTTTGTTGTTCAATTGTTGTTATATAATTTTTTCTTAAAAATTTATTAGAATGATAATTTTTCATAATTATAGTTGAATTCTCAATTTCATGTTTTGTTTCCAATTTAATAAATTCTTTACGTATATGTTGTACACCCATACGTGGATATAATGGACGATGATATAATATATTTGTTTCATTCATTTGTTTCAAATAATTTTCTTATTAAACTATGGAAAAAGGATAATGTGAAATGATTGTTAATTTGTTACCAAGTAGATTAAATAAAGTAAATCTATAAAAAAAATTTATTTTATTTAAACAATCAAAATTTTGAAAGTAAGTTTAAAGTACTTTTATAAGACTGGCAAGACCTTGATCCTGTACCCACCCAGGATAGTGAGCAGATAAACGTAGTCGAGAAGTCCGAGTATCTAGGTAGCTGCATAAGTGCTGGTAGTGACGTGAGTAATGAGATCGATTCACGTATAATGCAAGCCAGAGCGGTTTATGCTAATCTGGGCCATCTTTGGCGCCTTCGTGATGTTAGTCTGGCTGTAAAAGGTCGAATCTACAACGCATCAATGAGAGCAGTTTTTTTCTATGCTTGTGAAACCTGGTCTCTCCGAGAGGAGGATGATAGACGACTCTCTGTGTTTGATCATTGTTGTCTCCGAAGGATTGCTGACATCCAGTGGCAACACCATGTTCGTAACGCAGAGGTTCGGCATCGTGTGTTCGGGCACAGAGATGATAATCCAATTGGTGTCACCATCTTGAAACACCGACTTCGGTGGCTTGGAAATGTTCTACGAATGTCGTCCCAGAGAATTCCTCGTCGTGCATTATTTGCCAACACTGGGACTGGAGAGGTTCCACTCGCCGCCCTCAGGATTCTGGAGCACTTGTGCATCATTGGTTTGAATCAGAGTTTTCCAACTCCCCTAGATGTATCCTCCGTTCCACCAATCCGGTTAAAGCGCCAAACATCTACTTTTTGTCCTCTCAATTTCGTAAATAATACCACCATTGAGAGAAGGCAGCGAGTAGGACTTCCCAAGTAGTGATGGAGGTGTGTGTCGAAGGTGGGATTTTGAACCCATGTCCACACCGTGGACCAGAACTTACGTCTGGGGTCACATAAATAGCCAACAAGATTTGGATAGATGTTTCGTACTAGTATAGGTCTATTTAACAGTGTTCACAGAGATCATCAAGGATAAAACACAAGATCTTCAAATTGTCAGTAAAAGTCTAACAATTATGTTTTCAGAGTTATAAACTAATGATAATCAGTAAAACTCTTCAAATTTGAATAAATGACAATTAGAATTCTTAATATTAACCATATTATCATGAGGGTATTATCATATTTCTTTAAGAATCAACTGTAAGAAATATTAGAACTTAATGGATTAAAACCATGAACAATGTAACACGAAATATATAATTGTTTTAATTAACCTCAAATGCAAAATTATGTAATGTGAATTAATTCAGATCAAGAGATTTTAACTTGTCAACTAAATGGGAACCTTTATATTACTGATGAACAACATGGATTTGGATTAGAATGAATGACTGATGACTATCAAGGAAATATCGAGGTCGAATATACTAATATCTTTGTTTTGAGACAAAAATTTGTAAGCTAAACATCTTACACTGATCCAGAAAACCATTTACTCGTCCAACAGGTGTGATGCTTATATCATTATTTAATAAAGACTGAATGTTTGAAATATTTTGCCAATATTCATAATTCGTTTATATTGAAGGTTTACTTATAATAAATCACAGTTATTAGCCACCATTGTTTATCTGTTTTTATTGCTATCGCAAGGGATTAATATTCATCCTTATAAATTGTTTCTAGGATCGGTATATATATAGTAATTTTATTACTGATCAATTATTTGAATGTATATAGCATGTCAACCCACAGAAATGTTTCAATAAAATTGAAAATAAACATATTACATTGAATGAACTGTTTAATGTAATAGTTAAAGTATGTAGGTTTCTCTATGTTTTTCCAGACTAGAATATAACTAGTTACTTGAAGATAGTGGTTATTAAATTCTGATATCCATGTTTAAATTATATTTAAATTAGGTGATAATATCAGGGATTAACTGATCACAAAAGGTCAATGATGACTTTAATAGGTAATTAAGGATTAAATTAAACGGGATCTTGACAACTAAACAAATGTACTTATGAGTTAAGTTATTAGTTGATGAAAGAACTTTTTCTTTAAAGGTCATAAAAATAACGAGAGTTAATGGATTCAAGTATTAATTTGAACCGAAAGTTGTTTTAAGTGTTATGATCAATATGAAAATGATTCATCACTGAGTAGTTACAAATGTCCCGTTTATTTAATCTCTATTACTTATGCAATTTTATTGATCATGTTGAGGTGTATCAAACAAACTAAATATCTATGCTTGAATTTTCAATAACTGGGGGTGGTTGGAAAGAAACACTGGTTTTAGGTTTGTTGCTTACTCGCAATCATCAATAAGATGTATAAGGAATCCGACAGGAACCATACCTTACTAGTTTCAGCGAAAATAGGACCGAATAAGATTATCTGAAAACTACTTCAAACTACATAACATTATGTCTAATATTATCTTGATGGTAATTTAAATACTTAAAACTTCACAAATTAAATAACGTAATTTCTTGTTGTAAGAGTAATATTAATTAGATTTAGGATTGATGGGTAGGAAAGGTTTCGTTGTCGGTACTCGATAGTACAGTATATTGATAATCGTAGTTCATTTAGTGGAATCGAAAAATGTATGTGAAAGTATTGATTAACAGATAAATATCAAGTATAAATATGTAGTTTTCTCATGTATAATCCCACCGGTTGCATGAACAGTGAATAATTATTCACTCGATGTATCCCTAATTCTAACCAGTAGTCATATATTTGTTTTTATAAATATTCAATGGTGTCCATTTTCGTTTTGGTTCTTCTTTAATTATATCAGTAGACCATATAGTACTTATTCGGCAACCAAGAGCTTTTACTAGGTCTCTGTTGTACTGTAACGGAACAAAGCTAATGAAATGTACATACTATGCTATACTAAATTGGTAAGTGATTGAGAAGAAAAGTATATGAGAAGAGTAACACGAATTTCCATAGCATTTTACCTCAACAATATATACAATAGGAACTGATAAAGAAGTCATTTAAACTTTTTTTAAAATGTTTTAAAAGTGAAGAAACAATTGTCACTTCTTTTAACATAGCAAACTTGACAAGCTGTCCAATATGAGATCAAATATTTGGATAGAAACGATGTAGACAGTAGTAAAAATTTAACTTTAACAGAATATTTTTTTTAAAAAAAAAGTAATCAAATAACTACCTTTTCATCATTTTAGATCCTTAAATACTCTATGATACTTATTTATTAACCTTCAAAATTTCTATTCCTATTATAACATGATTGAACAGAATTTTAACTTCGATACTATTAAAGTATGTTATTCGAATTTGTGATAATTGTTTACTATTATAAGTAATATAATTTCAACAGTTCAAACGATTACAAACAAAACAAACATGTTTTACGGATTATCTAAGGATTAATAAAAGAACATTGTGTTGTTTATTGATTTATTACTGTTATAGAGATTATTAAATGGAATGATGAAAGGTTCATAATGTTGTCATGTAAACAGTTTATTAGTAACCAGTTCAATCGAATAATACTTTAATCGAATTAAAAATAGATAGATTTTACTGAGTGATATAAAGGATTACGTGGACATCAGGAATAAGTACAAGTGAAACAGATTGTGAGGTTAATAGTAATAATGATGAGTAAATTTTTGAACAAGTGAGAGTTAAAGTAAAAATATTACTGACTAGATGTCAGCTCAGTTGTATGAATGTTAAGTACTTATCATCAGACTTGCATGCTTAACAGGTTATGGGTTGCTATTTAAAAAATATCATATTCTAGGACTGAAAAACACTTTAGTCCCTTTGTATTTTAATGTTTGTTTAGCTGAAATAAATTCGAAATGTGAAAATTCAAGTTGAAGATTAGATGACTAATTTAAATACACCCCATTCTATCGATTTCATCAAGCCGAACGGTTGAATATTATCAATAAACGTATATATTCTAATTGCTTACATAAATATTAAAGGAAATATATCCCATGTTAGCCTCATCTATCATTTAATCTATATTGTTCAAAATCACCAATAACATTCAACTTTTGAGAAATATCAGGTAAATATAGTAAACAAAGATGGACAGTGGAATCAAGGACGCGCGTTTCGTCCTATTTGGGACTCGTCAGCTGGATGTAGCCACTATCCATCTTTGCCTATAATGCTTGTAAACTAAGGCAATATCGAGGCATACGCACAGTATGCACATATGCCAATAAGATGCTGAACAATTTCAGTGCTAAACATCAATGGGAAGATTCAAATAAAACAATATCAAGTGAATTAAAGATAGTAAATTCTAGAAACCTTTATGATACAATGATGAAGGAAAAGATTGTTTCATCTAATTTCTATCAAATATAAAATTGAATCTAATTTTGGTCAACTTACTTTCTTATTTTGTTCCGAATAACTATAAATCCAATAAAATATACAGTATTTAATAAATCCACGTAAACGTAACAATATTATTGTCAATCAGGCAATTCTAACGGAATGTATAATTTATGTCTGAAATCAGTTACTTCGATATATATAGCAGATTAGGAGTGAATAATATTGTTTTCTTATTGGTCAATATTATATTTCTATGATAAAGTGGAAAGGGGAGGAGATGAGGAGTGAAATTTTTTAGTTGCAGAATTAATCTGATTGGTTGAATAGAAGCCATGTTCTAAATCATAAAAATTTGTAACATGTAAATGGTAATTTAAGAGATAATTTTCTCAGGGTGGTGCAAATAATAGAACTAGACGATAGAATAAGAAAAGAATAGCGGATTGGAGACTAATATAGAGAATTTGACATTAATAAAACATAGACCTATTCAAATGAATTTATAATAATCTTCCTAATTCGAACAATTTATAAAATATTGAAAAATTACTTGTTAATGACCATTTGGGATTTTGGGAACAAAACAATTATATCTCGTTGGTTGTTGATATGGTAACAATGTAGATTATCGTTTATTTAGTTACTAGCAGTTCATTTTATG